AGCTAGCACACCATCCCATATGCGCCAGCGGGTGTAAGCAGTGCATGCTTTTTTTGTGTAGCCACGCACTAATTACTGCAATCTCCCTCAGGGAAATGCAGTCGACGAAACATTCCGGGCGCTCTTCAATGGGACGCTTGGCAGCGACAATCACGGCGGGCTGCTAGTCTGATGCCAGCATTGAGCCGCAGCGACTGCGAAGGAGGCAGAAGGGAAGGAAGAGCAGGGGAACGCGGCTAACCGCCGCAAGCGCACGAGAGCGAGTTAGCAGTGCGGTCGCACGGCGCACCGCATACCCGGTGTGATGACAGAGCCGCATCTCGTCCAAACTGGGTGATGCCCCACGCCCAATATTACTGACAATGCCGTTTCTCGTGCCGTGAACTCCATGGGCTCTCGGCTACCCGGTTCCTCTTCCCAGCCTTGCACAGTGAATCGGGTCCGTCCTTCGTCTTGCTTTTCCCCTTCCTCGTTTCTCCCCCGCTGCGTGGGCCCTGGAGGCGGCGGTCCCGCTGCTGCTGGCAGCTCCTGAGCTGGAAGCGTTATTGATAGCCGTGAGCCTGTCAGTTGGGCTGCGAAAGCAAGTCTTGGCGTGCAGGATATGGTCGACGCGGCACACGTCGTAGTTTGCAGTCCTCCAGGCGTCGAGGAAAACCTCCATACACACGCTTGGCGGCTGCAGTGCTGGGTCAAAGGTCGGCTGGGGGTTAGTGAGGCAAGTTTTGGTGCAGTGTGCAAACCACAGGTCGCTGAACATGCTGCCTAGCTCTTTCTGCATCCTGAGGATGAACGCGCTGTCGGACCCACAGGAGTGTTGTGAGTCGATCGTGCGTAGCGGGGCCTTGTACATCTTGGACCCGTCGTTCTTCTTGCGCTCGTAGCTGAACAATGGGTTATGGGTTCTTGGAGAAGTGTACCCATATGCCATGACTGAATATCCCGTCGTTTCCCGTGCGCATGTCCTGGTGACGCCAGGCGTCGTCGCGAGAATGCGCGGCCCGGCGATCTGAGGACCTGTCGTAACTCCACTGGTCCCTGTACCCGCGCGAGGAACCAGTCCTGTCGTCAGCGTTGTGCTGAGTTGGACCGTCGCATTGTCACTTTGCTGCTCTGTTCCCAGCCTCGCCTCGCACGTACCCTTCCAGAAGGGGCCCGGTGTGGCGGATCTCGCTTCCTCGGCAGCGGGGTTCTGTCGTCCGTGGCGCTGGATGTTTCGTCGTCAGCCGTCTCGGTGTTGTGACCGTCGCCTGCAGCTGGGCTCCCATCAGGTTCGTCTGCTGCGTCCCCTTCAGACTCCTCGCTCGCCTTATCAAGGTCGTAGTCCGGGTCGTCGCCGTCAGGGTTCCTGTGTTCATCTGTGGCGTCAGCAAGCTCGCTGTCTGAGCTGCTTATGATATTTCTTGTCACTGTTCGTATACCTTCGGGTCGAGACAGTGGCTTGCCGCTTGAGTCCGTGCCAGGGTGAGCAAGAAATAAATGCCTCCCGAGAGAGGCGGTCATGACTACGCTGATCAGGGGGTCCAGCCTCTTCTCCTCATCGCGTGCCCGTTGCGAGCCAGGATCGCACAAGGAAAGGATGTGTTCTTTGGCCTTATCAGCCAGCGTGGCCATTCGCTCCTGAAGCTCCTGAAAGGACATGTTGAATGGTGCAGTGGTAAGGCTTGGGGCGATTCGGCGAGATTCTATCCCGCGTGGGCGCATGCATCTGTCCAGTGTCTAGAATTGAACTTTCTAGCTAGCCGACCCGTAATATCGTCCCAAGACGCCCTAGATGGCCTCCAGACGACCCCAGACGCCGCCAACACGCCCCAAGAGTTCCTCAAAAGGCTCTCCTAGAGAGCCTCCACTCGCAAAAAGTGTGCCATTCCCTTCAGAAAACGTTCACTTTGCCCGTATACGGCGTTTCGAGGTCCAGCGAGTCCAACACTGCCCACGAGACCTTCAAGATCGCCCCAAGACGGCCCAGCACACTCCCAAGATGGGCCCAACACGGCCCAAGAGGGCCCCAAGACGGCCCACGATTCCCCCCCTCCCCCAACCCCCTCCCCTGGACCTGGAAGGGGCGGTTCGCGGGTCGTCGGAGCGTCCAAAACGGCCTCGGCGAGGAAGCGCGCGTGGCGGCCCCCGATGCTTCCAAGAGGCGTCCCAGAGGCGGAAATCGCTGATTTCCACAAGGATAGTGGAGGTTTTCAGCCTTCTCGCCTGTTCGGCTTTCCCACGCCCAAAGGAAGCCCAATAAGCCTCCAGGACCGCCCCAACACAGCCCCATGATGGCCCAAGACAGCTCCCGAGATGGCCCAGAAGGCGGCCACACGGGCCCAAGAACGCCCCGAAACGGCCCCAAGAGGGGCCGAAGAGCCCCCACCGTCGCCCCAGGCCGCTCAAAATGGCCTCAGAACGACCCAATAGACCACCCAAGACGGCCCAAAATGGCCTCAAGGCAACCCAAAATAGCCTCAAGACGGCCCAAGAGGCTTCATCTCCTCCTCCTCCTGCTCCTCCTCCTCCTCCTCCTCCTCCTCCTCCTCCTCCTCCTCCTCCTTCTTCTCCTCCTCCTCCTTCCCGCTCCTCCTCCTCCTCCTCCTCCT